TTGTGCAGTGGTAAGCTGGGGATGAGGTGAGGCTTCAGTGGGAAGTGAAGGCTCGGACGAATTTGTAGGAGTGAGCATGGTAAGAGTGGTGTTCAGACTAGGGGTTCAAGATGAGTGGCCAGGAAAGCACCTGTAGAGTAGTAAAGAAGAGCTGCCAGGGAAGTTGGAAGAGCCTCGGACAGCATGTCCTCAAGTGACAGGAAGACCTGTGGCAGCATGTCTTTTAGTATGAGCTTGAAAGCTGAGGCAGTATTAGTGAGGGGCTTACTCAGCCTCAGTGTTCTCTTATGCGATTCTGTCATGTACCTGTGAAGCACAAAGCTGGATTCCCTTGAAACCCGCCACCCAATTTCAGGTTTGCACACGGGACACTGAAGTCTTCCCCTTTCTTTACCCTGGAAAGATTGGGAGGGGGCTGTGAACTTTTACTTGTGTTTCTGTGCATTGCTCTTCCTTGTGTTGTTTTTTGTATAGTCTTGTATACAAACTGATAAATAAAAAAGCATCAGTAAGAAGCACTGTTAATGAAATCACACAGGCTGCTATTCAGGCACTTCATGGAGAGTCCGATACATCTGTGGAACCTGCATGATGGGGAATCCTGAGTCTGCAGTCTATTCTATAACCACTTGTCAGTTCTCACATGATCCCAGAACCAGTACGTAGGGAGAGTGCATGCTGGAAGGACACAGAGGCCTGGTCGGGCTCTTCCAGGATGTAGTTGTGGGCTGCTGAGGTCAGCAGATGCCTGTAATGGTGTCTGCAGCCCCATTCTGGGCTCTTGATGCCAGCTTTCTGAGGGGAGGATAGGTACATGTTGGACACAGTCTTCTGAGCTTTGTGGTTGCTGGGAGTTCAAGCAGGGCCCTCTTAGGATGCATTCTATGTGACTTACTCTTAGGTATCAGCACAATTTCTCCTGGGGCATTTGTGGGGTCTCTGCCTCATTAGAGGGTTCCAGTGCCATTTTGCACTTTGATTTGGAGCCCCATACTAACATTCTGTGCATCCTCCATGGACTGTACCACCTGAGCTGTACTCCAAGAAGTATCATTAAAAAGGAGCCTGGAAGGTGTGATCCCTTATGTTGCCACCACAGGCTCAGCTTCCAGTTACCATGTATGAGGGAAGCATGCATGAGGTAGCATTCCTGGCCTGTGTTTGTAGTTATCCATGAGTGTGTAGAGTTTTATGGAGGTGCAGTTGAAACACAGGAATCTCTTGTTCTCAGTGCAGTTTGCTAGACTGACATATACTCATCCTTGAACTCACCATCAGTGAAGAAAATGAGTCTCTCCTATTGGCTGAACACTTCTGCCCCCTGACCCCATTCTGTACCTGTTTGTCATCTTTCTGTCACATGGAGTTGGGTCCTGAAATATAGAAGTGTATAGTGTGAGCTTTTCCTGGCCACTTTGATTCAGTGTTGGCACCATGGCTCATTTCTTTAGCTCTGAATACTTTTTTTCATTATGTAAATATTTTGGGTGTTGTCTCTATATTGATGTATTTTGTTGCTCCTAGTTTTGGGCTGTTAGAAATAAGATTGCTTCAATTAGTTCAGGTCCAATTAGTTCAGGTCCACTACCTCAATTAGTTTGAGGTAGACTGGAATGGAGAGCTATGTACCCCATCATTGGGCAGGCCTAAGATTGTAGGGTGGTGTTCAGGGGGTTCGGTGGGCTGCTGGGAGTCCTCTGCCCCATTACCAGTTATGTTTCAGCTGTAGTAGTGGGTGTGGATAACTTGGAATGGTGGATTTAGTTTGTACTTTTCTTGTTGGCCTGTGACACTGTGCTAATTTGTTGACATGGGCTGTTATGTCTTTCATGGCTGGGAGATGTCTATTCAGATCTGTTGCCTACTTTTATGTTTTCTTGCTGAGATGTGAGATGTCAGTGAGTCTGTGTGTGTTACAGCCTTCTCTCTGTGTGCTGGCTGGCTTGGGGACCAGCATTTCCTTTCAGCTTCTGGAGAAGAGTGGCACCTGGAGTTTGGGGTATGGAGTCAATTGCTCACTTGGTCCTCTGTGGACCATCCTTCTGGAATGACTTCTAGAATAATGGTGATGTCTTTTTCTCTCCTGGTGCTCTGGTCTTAAGTGTAGAGGGTAGATCCAAGCTTTTTGCCTGTACCTGTTCTGTTGTCCTTGCTCACTCAGGTTTCTGTCTGTCTGTAAGGGCCTGTCTGCATCCTCAGCTGTTGTGTTGATGCACTGATGATGAGGTACTGCGTGGAGATTTCTGAGGCATTTTGTAGCTCTCCCTTGAGTACAAACCCATGTTCATGTCCTAGTGTTGTTGCATTTCTTCATACATGTTTGAGACAGAGCATCTGACATGCTTTCCTTCCTGTTTTAATCCTGTGGCTGGTATTGCCTTCCAGGTGACAGGTGGAAGTCTCATTGGGTCCATCGTCTGCTGTTGAGTGCCCAGTTGTGTCAGCTTAATGTGAGTTCTGGACTTTTTCCTCTGAAGTGGTCATTGGTATTGGAGTCCTGTGTGGTCCAGAGGGCATCATCATCTCATGTCCTTATTGGCAGAGCACTGCTGTCAATGCCAGGGCCTCCTGTTCAGGATATGCTGTCATGCGTGGTTGCTCGATCTTTCGTCATTTGTTGGAGTTTCTGAAACAATCCCCTCAATTTTATCATAATCCTCTTTATCAATTCTCTACTTTTTCTTTCTGTAGTGTCTTCTATGTTGTGCTGAGTGCCCGCATCTGGCTGTCTTGTAGGTGTTGGGTGTTTGGGTAACACTGAAGGGCATTCTGATTAATTCTTTTTTTTTCCCAGTCTTTCATATTATTTTATTTTCTCCCTTCGACAATAATAATATGATATCCAAATTTTGTTTTAACTGGTGGGTCTGTAAACACAGGCTTTTCCATTCCACTTACAGGCAAGGCAGATGCCGCTTCTTGAAATGGTCCCACCATGGACCCTCTGGTCATCTAACCCAAGTCACCCCCTTGCCTGGCTTTATCTTCACTATATTATGAGGCCACTTCACTGAATCTCATTCCAGATTAACTTTTCCATGGCTTCCATGATTTTGCCATGTTTTTCATATAGAATGTATCTGACCTTTACGGCATTGCCACCACCTTTAGGGCCCTGAGACTTCTTGTCAGCACTGTCACTCCCAGAGGCTGCACCTCCTTTGCCCCTTTTCCAGAACCACTTTCCCCCTTTTGTTGGCATCTCTGAAGCTTGCCGTTGAACTCTCCGGTGCTAGGAGAAGCCCCTTTAGGCCCTGTAGGTATGCCCTAAACCATGCCTGAAAGCAGTGTCAACAACCTGATTAATTCTTACTACTCTCAAGCAGGCATTTTCCAAAGAGGGGTGGAATTTGTACATTTGTCTGTTTAGGTCTGTCCCAGGTGTCTAGGATCTTTGGTTGTCACCTGTTATTTGCGTGGTAACACCGGGAAAACCTCCTCACTCAGAACAGCTAGAGGAACTGGGTAATGTTAGCTTTAACAAAGAGTTCAGTCAGAAGTCCGGGATGGAGCCAGAGCAGGGCTTGTGAGCCACTGTGGGCTGGCCGAACCTTGCCTCCAGGCTCCACTGTGCCTGTTATATTGGATATTTATGCTACACAGTCCAAGGAGCTGCAAAGCTTGAGGGTAGGGTGGCATTAAGATCCTGTAGACCAAAAGACCCTATCAGCCAAGGGAACAGAGTCCCTTCAGTCTGTTTTGCATCAGTGGGGAAGAAGTGTCTCTTGAGGAATCCTATAAGGGGCCTGTGTTCCACCAACTAAGCTGGACCTAGTTTGCAGTGAGAGTGGGTATGTGTGACAGTGGCCATATGGATAGTTAGACCAAACCTCCCAGACATGTTGCCTGTATCTTGTTAGATTTATAGAGAAACACTGGCCACAAGCGTGCTGATGCAGATTGTATGAGGTAGTTCTGAAGGGACATTCATTTTCTTAATGCCAACAATAGGGCTTTCTGGATGATGAATTTGGTGAGTTCAAAGAGGCCCTACTGCTGTTTCTGGTATACTCAGAGCTTGACAGCATCAAAGACTTTCTGTATGATTGTTCTGGCTTATTCCTCACAGAAGGAAAGCCCAGGGTTTGCTGGATGTGTAGCTTACAGAAGGTTCTAGCTCCAATGCCCGCCCCAGCATCTTCTTTCCTGCAGGTGTGTTACTTTGCAGCTGTGTCCTGCTGTGCTGGGCTGTTGCTGAGAGTATCTGTAGCTCTGTTGTGGAAGTTACATTTCAGATAGGTTGTGTTACTGTTGCTTCTAGGATATAGGGTACAATTGTTTGCTGGTATTAAAGTCAAACTTAACTGGTAGAATTTGCTTTCCCAGAGTTCCAAGAACTTTGAAGGGTGAGCGATATAGTTCTGTACCTGTTGCTGTGGACATCTGTGTTGTGTTGTGGGCCTCCTGGTCACTTGGAGCAAAGCATACCTGTATGTCTGACCAGTATTCCTTCTCATGAACAATAGAGGACCACACTTTTTGGTTTGGTGTGGACATTCTGGGGCATGAGGCTGGAGAGACATGGCATATGGACTGTAGAGGTGATGGTGTCCTGCACTCAGAACGCATGACCTGCACACTTGAGTGTGCTGGTTAGAAAAGTGTGGAGACGGTGCAGAGTAGCTACCCAGGACACGAGCTCATGGCTGTGGAAGCCTGCCTTGAATGGTACCTGCTACTTTGTGAGTGTAGAAAAGACAGAGGCAGCTGTGAGTCTCTGTCTTAGGCTCCTACATCAGAAGAGTCTATAGGGCACACATTTGGACTGAAGCTATGGCTGCTGAGCTTGGCTTTGTCACTTGCATTCTTGGTGAAAGGAGGTATGATATGTGGTCTTAGTGTAGGGAGCCCCGCCCCACCCTGTGCTGTGTCTCCCCTGAGGAGCCAACTGTTCTGCAGCTGCTCATGTGTTTCTCTTGCAGTAAGTTGTCCCCTGGCTAGGGTCTTCTTGAGCTGGAGTAGGGAGCGCTTCCTGATGCCAAGTTTCATTTGTCCCCCAGGAATGGTCCTCGTGCGGAGTGAGAATGGGCAGCTGTTAATGATCCCTCAGCAGGCCCTGGCCCAGATGCAGGCCCATGCCCAGGCCCAGCCTCAGAGCACCATGGCTCCCCGTCCTGCAACCCCCACAGGTGCTCCACCTGTCCAGATCTCCACCGTGCAGGTGAGTGCATGCATGGTGAATAGGCTAGTGTTGGGTGGCCCCAGCTCAGCGTAGCTCACCCACACTGGGGATGTTGCAAGAGTGAAGGTGTGTCCTGGGTGAGTGGACGCTGAGACATGCAAGTTGTTTTCAAACCCAACCATCAGGCAGGGTCTAGGATGGCTCAGGTCCCCCATTTTCCTGGCTGAGAACCACAAGCTCTTGGAAGAGCCAGTTCTTGTGGCCAGTGCTCAGCTTGTTGACTGAGTAGGGTGTTCGACACTTGGAGTCAGCTGCTTTGGCTGCGCCCCGGCCTTTTCCTTGCTGCCAGTAGGTTTACCTTTCTGTGTCCCAGTGTCTTCCTCTCTGAAGTGCAGATCCAGTAGTGTACAGGTCATAGGACTGTCATGAAGACTGAGGATGCTTGTAGTACCAAGAGTGAGCAGTAGGGCAGAGCAAAGGCCATACAGGTGTACCCTGGCTCCCAAGCCTTGAGGTCATAGGTCTTGATGCCAAGCTGTGCTGTCCCAGAGTGCAGTACCCTCTCATCCCCAGCACCACAAGCCCTTGGGTCTGCCAGTACACTCTGTGTTATGCTTTTGTGTCCTTGCTTTTGTCCAGTGCCTTCCTGAGATAGCTGGCAACTAAAGAGATGGCAGGCAGTAATCCTGATAGCTCTGAGCTCTCTCTGGATTTGTGCCCTGTCCTGTAGATGGGGTTGTGTGTGCTGGAGATAGGCAGAGCTCCCACATAGGAAATAACATAGAGCACCTCTTTGAGCACCTCTGCAGTGTTCTGTGTCCTGAGTAGGAAGCATGTGGACTGTTTTTGAAGGTTCTGTTTGGCGGTGGGCTGTGCTTCTCCAACTGACCTCTGCATCTCTACTCACACAGCTTCTCTGTAGCCGCCTCAGGACTCCTCCTGGTCAGCCCCTGCCTTCCCCATACTGCCTGTGGCTAGGACCAGGGCATCTCCTTCACTTTCAGTGCAGGCCATTGTCACCCTAAGAGCACTGACACAGTGGGGTTTCCAGATGTATGCTTTAAAAGATGGCATTTTGTAGACTTCGCTTTAAAAAAAAAAAAGAATCTGTTTTTAGGATTTTTCATGAGAAGTTTCTTATTATACATTTTTCTTTTTGCCTAGAAAGTTTTGGGCATAGGATGACTTTCTTGTGGGTTAACAGTAAGCTGTGGATTACTTGAGAGCACTAGTATGTATTTGGGAGTTCATTTACGCGTGAGTGTGATGTTTGCGCACACGCATATATTACTTATTGTAGCTCATTTTAGATGACTCCTAATTTATTTTTCAGGCTCCAGGAACACCTATTATTGCACGGCAGGTGACCCCAACTACCATAATCAAGCAAGTGTCTCAGGCCCAGACGACTACGGTACAGCCCACTACAACCCTACAACGCTCTCCTGGGGTGCAGGTAAGAGGATACAGCCTGGTGCATTGGTAGGGCGGCCTGGCTGGCAATGCCTGCTTTTGCTTTGATGCAAAGACTAGGCTTCAGGACTTTTACTATTGGAAACCAGGTTAAATTTGAGGATGCAGGTGGTCACTGAAGAACATGATTTCACTGTGTCTGAATGCAGGCTACATCCTTTTTCCTTAAAAATCAAACAGTTTAGTATTAGCAACATTCAAAAGCTCTTTATAAAGTATAACTAGGAATGTCACCTCACTGACACTGGACTCAGGGCATTTTTGAGGAAAATCTGTAGCGAGGAGAGTTTGTGCTGTGACCCATGACATACTCAGGGGCAGTGCGACTGCTGTGTGTGCAGGATGTCTTCTCACCTTCCCATGGTAAGTTTGTAGGTGAGCTGGGTCTTGCTTTCCTAGCCGGGGCCACTCCAGCCTCTTGTGGCTTCCAGCCCACACTGCCCCCCTGTGGCCCATTGCTCATAGCACAAACCTAGAAAAGATGGGCTTTCCCTTTCCCCTCATCCCCTCTCTCTTTCCCTCCATCTCTTTCTTCCGCCTTCTCCTCTTCCTCTGCTTCCTCTTTTTCCACCGCTCTTTTGAGCTAGGATCCCAGGAAGTAACCTGTTTGGTTTGGGACTTGCTGTGTGGACTGCACTGGCATATACTTGTAATACTCTTCTTGCCTCTGTCTCCTGAGTGCTAGGAGTTGTCTGTAAAGCAGTGTTCTAGGTAGCAGCAGGGGAGAGTGTCCTGCAGATACTGGCCTTACCTGGCACAGGTTGATGCTCTTGATCATCAACACAAACAGGAGGAGCTTATATGTCAGAGGTTCTTCTTTTGCAGAGCTCAAAGCACATGTCAAGTGGGGAAAGGGGCTGCTCAGGGAGGACATACCTGAGCAGAGAAGACATAACATGTTTGGAGAGATCTGACTATGGAAGACATTCCTAGACAGAGAAGACACATTGATGAGGGAGACTCTTGTCAGGGAAGACATCATTGGCTGGGGAGGCAAACTTGTTTAGGGAAACTCTCTCTCTGGACAGTCATTTGGGAGCAGGTGGGAAGAAAAGAGCCTCAAAGGCTCCTGATATTGTGTTTATGAGCAGCCATACAGTGTAGGGCTTTGGATCTGCAATGAAACTCTTGCCATACTGGGCATCAGTGCTGTGCCCACTTATGTCTTAGCTGCACCATTACTGCATAAGCTGTACCTACATCCCAGTGGGAGCCTGAGCTAGGTGATGGGCTGCAGGGCAGCCCCACACATGGGCTTTTCTAAATCTTGGAGTTCAGCTCCCTGTTCTGGGGCAGTGGTGGGGAATAAGAACAGCCTGGAGAGTAGTTTGTCCCAGGGAGCTGTAAGCCAGCAGAGAACTCAGTGTTTCAGAAGCTGGAGTCTAGGAGGTCTGGGGTTTCCTGAGGGGAACTTGTGCTGTCCGCATCTGATGAAAGGATCTGCATTTCTGATGAGTGCCCTCTAGAAGGTCATAGAAGCTCATGGTAGCTGTGTATCGTGTTTAGTGATGACATGTATTGAAGTAGGTGGACACAGTCTTCAGTCAGGATGAGATCTGATTCCCTAGGCCCATAGGAGTCGGCTGAGAAATGAAATTTTAAGGTGAAAGAAACTTGGTCAGAAGGGTCTCTGGTGTTTTGGCTACTCCTGGCTTGTTGAGTCAGCCTCTTGGTTTGTTCTGCATATTATCTTCATGTGATGTTTTGTTTGGTGGTTTCCAGTCACAGTGGCAGTGCATACTTATTATAAGGAGACACTTATCACCCCTGAATCTGTCACCGGCTGTAGGGTAACTTTGAGGGCCAAGAGACCTGGAAGTGGGTCAGAGCTGTGCAGCACCCTCATGAGCATCTGTGGCTGGAGTACTCAAAGGCTTTGCTCTCAGGAAGCTCCCTGCCTTCTGATATTGGGGTTAGTGTTTAAAAAAACTGGAGTGAGGAAATGTGAGCAGCTAGATTTATAAATTGGAGAGGTACTAATTTAAAAACCAGTCGATATTTCATCATGATTATTCAAGAAAAGCAGAAATCTTGGGAAAGGGGCTAAGGACTAGTGGATTTGGAGAATCTAAGTCATTTCACATCTAAGTGCCCATTTGCTTTGCAAATGTTCTTATGTTTGGACAAGCAGCACCTTTTCACAGCTGGGCCAGTACTGGTGACCCAGCCCTTGTACATGTACCTCTACTTGCTGTGGCTTCTGACTCACTTTTGGAAAGCAGAAGACATTAGTGTAAAGTAGTCCTGGGGAGTGGAGGCCCTTCCCTTTTTTTGTTTCCACTACAGACCCTGTAGTGGCTTCTGTGTGCTTGAAGGCCACAATTGCTTTGTAGCCAGGGCTCTGTGAACAGCTTAAAGTGTTCTCAGGAGTAGCTTCTGAGTTGGGAGCTCATGGTGTTATCCAGTCCTCTGTGCTTGTCTCTGTGACAGCTGTCCACCTGACACAGATTCTTGACAGTGATAGGTTCAAGTCCATCATGTTTTATTGCAGATACGAATACATCTACCTGTCATCACTGTGGTCCTCAGGTGTGGGTCTGCCAGGAATGCCCTTGGCTGCCTCATCTGGCTGTAGGAGGTGTGACAACTGGGACTTGTTCAGACATTTGAGCTCCTTACTTCTTCAGAAGCTGGTACTTCCCTGGACTAGTACTGCGGTTGAGAGATGCATTTACCTTATGTTTTGAACTCTTCTAGCCTCAGCTGGTTCTGGGTGGTTCTGCACAGACAGCCTCACTTGGAACAGCCACAGCTGTTCAGACAGGGACACCTCAACGAACAGTCCCCGGGGCCAGCACCACCTCCACAGCTGCCACGGTAAGGACTCCCTTCTGGGCCCCTAGGGGCAGAGCCAGCCCATTGATATTAGTGGGGAAGTAGAGCTGTATACAAAAGGGCTTGAGAATGTTTTGGGTCCCACAACCCAACCAAGAGCACTGGTGACATAGAGGGGACCCATGTGACCTTGGGCTCTGCCTTCCCCTTATGGGGTAACCACTGAGAAGTAGTAGGAAAGGGCCCTCAGCATCCTGCTTGGGATCTAGACCCTGCAAATGCCTATGGAAGCCACATACAGGTAGCTGCCGAGCACCTGGGGTTGGGCCGTCAGTGTGTCTGTGTTCATGGCACTGCTTCCTTGATGCACCAGCAGCGTTACACAAGCTGGGGCCGTACTCTGTTAACTTGTGTGTGTGTTCTTTGCCAAGGACTTTTGAACCTTTACAGATGCTGCCTGGACCTTAGTCTGCTTGTGCACATTTAGGCAGGCAGACGGCAGCCTCTGCTCCTGATATAAGGGCAGAGTCTTGGCAGATGCAGCCTTCCCTAGAAGAGAGCTACTGGGTTGAGAGATGCAGGCTTGGTGTCCTCAGAGTGGCTGATTACCCTTCTAAGAACCTTCTGGTTTGTGCAAGAAGTAGCATGTTTCTTGAAAGAAGTTTAAATGCTAAGTGTACATGTTTTAAAAACCTGTACACATTTCACTGCAATGAGATGCTGTGATGAAATCTCCTGTAACTTATACCTTTTTATTTTAATACAGGAAACTATGGAAAATGTGAAGAAATGTAAAAGTTTTCTATCTACATTAATAAAACTGGCTTCCTCTGGTAAACAGTCTACAGAGACAGCAGCTAATGTGAAAGAATTAGTACAAAACTTATTGGTAAGGAACTAAGGTGGAACTCTGCCTCAGAGCATGGTGTGTGACCTGCAGCCCCAGCTCAGCCTACCATGGGGACTGGGTGGACAGGGGAGATCCTGTGGAAGGACCTGGAGAGGGAGCAGGGTGCACCACTTCGAGGGTGTGTGGATAGCTTGGCTTGAGTGTACCCCACCATTCCTACTACATTTAGATGAGTCACCTGAGGAGACCTGCCAGCATTAGGAGGAAGGTTAAAAGACCCCCTAAGTAGCAGTTGCCTTTGCTTGAGAGTCACAGAGCAGTGCTACTTAAGGTTGCAGCCTGCCTTCTCTTCTTCCCCTTTAAAACTAAAGGAAACAGGTAGCATCCTTTACTCCAGTTTGTAAGCAGGTAGTCTCTGCTGCACCGCCCACTCTGCTGCCCAAGCTGCTGAGAAGGTGCCTGTGTTACTGATGTACAGAACTGGCTTCTGCCATTTGTTGTTGCTCCTTTGTCCCTGGATGTCCCATGTTTATTTTGGTAGCTTGCTTGTGTCACCATTTGAACTGGGTTCCTTGCCTCGTGTTTTCTCTAACTCTGTCCCTCTTAACCTAAAGCACCCTCTTCTTTGATCAGGAAGCATAGGGATTTTGTGGTTTTCGGTTTTGAGCTGATGGAGTTTGTTGGTTGGTTCATTTCTGTACTTCTCATCGTTTTTGTCTGTAAGGGGTTTGCAGGCCAGGCAGAGGTTTGCCCCCTGCACTGCTCTGATGTCAGCAAAGCCCCATCCTTGTCCAGTGCTTTCTTTCCCACTTGTTCACTCCTTAGCTGCATCCAGCTTTCCGCAGGGCCCTGGGGCCCTCCTAGCTTTTTCTTACATGACTCTTGTGGCCTTTTGTTTCATAGGCTGCCCCTTCTGGCCTTTGCATCAGTCAAACAGGGGCTCAACAGCCCACAGTGCACACCATTCCTGGGATAAGAAATATTGTCAGCCTTTCTGCCTCACCTTGGCCACTTCAGCCCTCCTCAGAGCCCAGTGAGGGTGGCTGCTCCTCTGCTGCACAGGCCAGCTGTTGATGCTTTGTGCTTTGGTGACACTGATGGCATCTCTTTTCCCCTGCCAGCTTGAAATCCAGCTTTTTACTCTAAAGGCACAGATTGCTGCCATAAACCTGCTGTCAGTAGTCTACCATTGCTGTGCCTGCTGCTGCCTTATCCAGGTTTTGCAAGCCCTGGACAGATGCTGTAGTAGTTTGGGATACCCTTCTTTATGGCAGCATGGCTAGGCCTCTGTCCCGCTTCAGGTGCCTGCTTCATGGAAGAAGGCTGCTGTAGTTCTCAACCATGTTAGGGGTTTTCTGGTTTCCACAAGGGTTCCCAAATGTGTAAGACGACTGCGTGTGCCTTACTGGTGGACTCTTAGGTATAAGTGCCAGTCTCCGCTGACAGGTGCACTACTTCTTGACTGGGCTGTGCTAAAGTGTTGCCTTGGCACTTTGTACCATAGCTCATTTGTTTCCTAACAAAATGCCTGGCACTGGGTAAGCGCCTGGTATTCCCCAAGTGAAAACACACTGAGTGAGAAACCTGTGGGAGGCTGGTAACATGGACCTGTAACTGGCCAGCTAGAGACATGTTCAGCAGCTGCTGCTCAGGGTCCAAGGGCACACCAGACACACACGCATCTGGGATCTGCATGTGTTGAACCGGGCAGTAGCATATGACACACAGTCCGCTGTCAGAAGGGCCAGACCAGTGTGGTGCTGTGTGCTGTGAAGTTGTGTGGAAATGTGTCACGGCAGTTGTGGTGTCACTGCAGTGTCAGTGTGGTTTACTTTTCAGGATGGGAAAATTGAAGCAGAAGATTTCACTAGCAGGTTGTATCGAGAGTTGAACTCTTCACCTCAACCTTACCTTGTGCCTTTCCTGAAGGTAACTGACTCTTGTGCTGCAGCAATGTGGTCCAGTCAGGGTGGGTGTGTCTACCTGGCATGCCTGGGACAGCATGTCAGGTTTCTGTTTACAACTGGCTTTTTTGCAGCTGAGCCCTGAGTGGTGTTGCCGCTCTGGCCAGTGCTCCCTGTGGGGAGGGGTTTGCTTCCAGAGTAAGCTTGATGGTGTTGGTACATCTTGGAGATGCATTTTGTTTCTGAAACACATTTTAGCCAGTTCTTACAAAGAAAGTCTTGGTTAATAAGCATGTTTGGAGTTGAGTGATAGGTGGGGGATTAATACCTGATGTTAGAGTGTACAGAGTGTTATTAGCCACAAGGCTTTTGTGAAGGTTTATGCTTCTGAATTTTTAAGACACTGGCAGCATTTGCGCTCCACTGTGACTGACCCTACATGTCTGTTTGTCCTTAGAGGAGCTTACCTGCCTTGAGACAGCTGACGCCAGACTCCGCGGCCTTCATCCAGCAGAGCCAGCAGCAGCAGCCACCTGCCTCGCAGGCTACCACTGCACTTACAGCTGTGGTGCTGAGCAGCTCGGTGCAGCGCACAGCTGGGAAGACAGCCGCCTCTGTGACCAGTGCCCTCCAGCCTCCAGTCATCAGTCTCACTCAGCCCACACAGGTTGGCGTTGGCAAGCAGGCACCGCCCACACCACTGGTATGAAGGCGCGAGCCTGGCATGGTGCTCTTGCCAGCCACCATGCCACTTAACTCACCAGCCCTGGCTCGGAGCCCCTGTCTGGAAAGAGCAGGCAAGGAAGCTCCTGCTGGAAAGATGTGTGGTTGTTCTCTTAAGTGGTTAACGTATGAGCTGGAGGTTGAGGCCCATGACTTGGTGTTTTCGTAGAATGAAGTGAACTTGTTGGCTCACTTATGGCAGGTTGGCTCACGTATAGGTTTTCTGTACATGAGCACAGTGTGTTTAATGGGTCTCTTAGGATGCACTCTGGACTTTTGAGTAATGCCTGAATGTTCAAATCTTTGGGATTGGGGTAGGAGATGGATCAGTCAGGCTTTTGCCTTCTGAGGGTACAGCTAGGGCTGGTGGCAATAGTGCAGTCTGGCCAGTGCTCAGGGGAAGCTGAGGGCTGCTGGCAGGTGGATCTAGCTTTGTTCAATTTGTATTCTTTTACTGGAGGCAGGAGCTCTTCACTGTGAGTTGCATTCAGAGTGCACCTGCCATTAACAGCATAGCCTCTCACACCTAAAACAGCAAACTTCTAGAGGGGCCTGGCTGTATAGTGAAATGTTATAGAGCATTTATGAGGTCTCAGCACTGGGTGGTGGGGGATGGTTGACAGGTGGTTGGAATTGTAAATGTATCTTAATATACCTGTGTTACAGGTAGCACAGTGCTGTATGGGAGAAGGGTGTTGAGGAGGACAGACTCCTCTGCTCTGATAGAACTTGCTTCTGTCTTCATTCTGTTGGTAGCGAGGAAACCTCGTGTCCAGAGCAGGCTGAGAAACCACATGAGTAGGGTTTCTCTTGGGGCAGGATTACTGTGTCCTTTGCTTTCACATAGTTCAAGTAGGGAACTGTCCTGTTCAGTGATCAGCTCACTGATTTACCTAGAGGGCAGTTTTGAGGAAGGATTTGCTTTCTGTGTAAGGGTTTGGCCTCTGGTGCATGGTCTTGTCAGTTGTATCATCAGTTGTGGCTTGAGTGCTGGATTGCACGTAGAACCATCACTTCTATTGTATTGGTTTTAGCTGTCAATTTGGTCCAATCCAGAATCATCTGGGAAGAGTATTGTTAATGAGATCTGAATGGCCTGTAGGCATGTCTGTGGGGATCATCTTGATTTTTGATTGTTGTAGGAAGACCTACCCTGAGTATGGGTTGGGCACTGGGCCATGAAACAGCAAAGAATGCAAGCTGAACAGAAGGGAGCAAGCAGGCAACAGGGCCTCATTTGTTTCTCTTGACTATAGATGTGGTGTGACCATTTGTCTCAATTTTTGCCTCTGTGACTTCCCTGCAGTGACAGACCTGGAATTATAAGCCAAATAAATCTCTTTATCAGTTACTTTTGGTCAGGGTGTTTGATCACAGCATCTGAAATGAAGCTAGAACAATGGTGTTTGTTTTCATAAATGTGAACGTGGTATGTCCAACCACCCGGTCATTGCTGTGTACTGTCCTGATCCCCTACCTCTACTCAGAAATTCTACTTGTGCCTGTATGTGCAGCTGAGGCAGATAGGTCAGCATCATGCAAGCCTGGGCCTGAGGCCAGAGGATCCCAGAACTCATGGAAGTGGGCTGCTTTGCCTGTGTTTGCATTTAGTGGCTCTCAGTGGAAAGCCCTAGCCTGAGCTGCTCACCCATCCTGTGGTGTGAGCACCATGTTTTGTTGCAGAGACAGTTCTGGTGCAGGCCTCAACCTCAGTCCTTTGCAAGTGTCCTGTTACATGTGGTGCCCAATGAAAGCACACCCCTACTTTTTTTTTTAAAGCAGAGTTGAGGGTCAAATCTTAGAAGGCCTTTAGGATACTGTGCTGCTGTGTTACACCACCAGCCACAGAAGCAGGCTCTTTTACAAAAACTAGAATTCTTACAGGAAAGCTTCTAGCCCAGACATTTATGGTCAGGCCTTTGGAGGCTTCCTGTGGGCAGGACCCAGAGCACATCCAGTGCTATGGGCTCTTGGATCCCTGTTGTAAGCCTAGGACAACATGCAGGACAGCGAGTTGAGCAGGCCCTGAAGTAAGGACCAAGCACCTCTGGGCCAAGCATGGTGCAGAGAATGATGAGGGGCACAAGGCTGTGTTGGGACAGAGAACCAAGTTCAGGGTAGGACTTGGAGATCCACGTTCACAATAGGAATGTAACCTGATCTTATAGAAAACTTAGAATAGAAATAAGTCATTTGGCGGGGTCCATTAGGCAACAGTGCTGCTCTGCTAATGGGTTGGGAGAAGTCCATGTTTCTTGTGGGGTTTGCTGCTCCCTCTAGGATGTGTGTGGGTCCAGTTCAGGTCTTCAGTATCATGTATCCCATGTACTTGTTCTGCTGTGCTGTGGCCTGGTGTGGTGCCATTCTGTCTTTGTCTGAGTCTTCTGAAGTTCTGTGTAGAGGCTTGTGGTAGGGCTAGTTGAGCCAGGCTTTTAGATTTGGAATGAAGTGTACACCTGAATGAACTTCCTGGAGCTTCTGGCAGGGCAAGTTTGGGGTAGCACTGATGAAGCAAATAGTTGGCTTCAGGGGTCAGTGTGGTAGCCCCCAGGATGTGTGTGTGTGTGTGCTCATGCACTGTGCTGGCTGTGCCCCAGGTGATCCAGCAGCCCCCGAAGCCTGGAGCCTTGATCCGGCCCCCGCAGGTGACCTTGACGCAGACACCCATGGTCGCATTGCGGCAGCCTCACAGCCGGATCATGCTCACCACACCACAGCAGATCCAACTGAACCAGCTGCAGCCAGGTGAGGCCCCGGCTGCTGCCACCCAGGGCTGGCTATTCCCGGAAATGGCCAGTTGTGGGACGGTACTTGATTTCATTTAATCATTGCGATAAAATTCATTTATGCACACCACTAGTGACTTCATTTACGAAGTTGTGCAGCCATTGCCCTTGTCTGTGTGGTTTTTAAATTACCTGGATTATATAGGATTGTCAGTGTTAGGCTCTATTAGATCACAGACCTTCTAGCTGCCTTTCTTGTTCTCCTAGCAGTCAGGCCACACCCCCTGCAACTCTCATACCCTCTCACACCTTGCGTTAGTGGTCTGCATGTTCTCATTCCTTCCCCTCCTCCCTCCCTCTGTTCCTTCTCTTCCTCTGTCTTCCTTCCTTCTCTCCTTCTCACCCCCTTTCCCAGAGTTTACAGAATGTAAACTGTGCAGTAGCCTTTCAGGGCCTCCTCACGGCACATAGGTTAGTCTAGGTTGTGTGGTATAAATGCTGTTCCCACCCTCAAAAAACCTATAAAAAGCCAGAAACCTGCTTTGTTTTGGAGGTTTGAATGGAAGGCATTCTCTCCCTTCAAGGCCCCATCATGCTACTATGGTGTGACATTGTCTCTTCTAAGGCCCTTCCCACTTCAAGCCTGGCTATGGGCCCCTCACAGTAAAGTTTATTCTGAAATGCAACTCTGTATCAGCTCCTTTCCAGCCGACTTAGGTTTTAGATTGTAACAATACCTACCTACTTACCACCCCCGCCCCTCCATTTCCAGGGCAGCCTCACTGTGTTGCCTTGGCCAGGAACTCCTGCCTCAGTCTCCTAGCCGAGACTTTGGACTCATACCATATGTCTGTTTACTGTTAGTCTCTGTTAGGAGTCATTCTCTGTGTAGCCCTGGCTGTCCTGGACTCCCTTTGTAGACCAGGCTGGCCTCAAACTCACAGAAGTCTGCCTGTCTCTGCCTCTTTGAGTGCTGGGATTAGTGGTGTGCTCCACCACATCTGTCTTTCTGAGTCCTGTTGGTACAGGCTGTGTGCATGAGTTAGTTCTGTCCATTGTAGCGTGGACAGACTGTCCAGGGGTGCATCCTTGGAGAGGACTGACATCCCACCCTCAGTCGATATCAACTCCCAGAGTTCCTCAGCTAGGAGCTCCCCCCTATCCATGTTAGGACTTAAAAAACAAAACAAAACAAAAAACACCACAGTAACTTTATTATTATTGTTTCATGTGTATGAGTGTTTTACCTGCATGTATATCTATAAACCAAGTGCATGCCTGGTGTTCTTGAAGGCCAGAAGAGGGTGTTGGAGCCTCTGGAACTGGCGTCAGCCATTGTGTGGGTGCTAGGAATTGAACCTAGGTTCTCTGGAAGAGGAAGTGCTCTTAACCACTGAAATCCCTTCCCCCATGCTGGGATTTTAATGGGCTTGATCTTAGCAGATATTGTATAGGCAAACATGGCTGCTTTGAGTTTATATGTGCAAGGGGCCCTGCCATGTCTGGAAAACACTGTTTCCAAGCAGTCTTCTGCAGTTTCTCACGTTTAGAGTCTTTCTACCCCCTCCTTCTCTGATGATTCCTAAGGGGAAAGGGTGTAGTAAAAATGGTCCCATTTAGGGCTGAGCAGGTTAGTCTCTGATTCTCTGCAGTATGACCAGGTGTGTGTGAGTACAAGCGCCTCCAGAGAGTTCAGAAGAGGGCCTTGGGTCCCTGGAGCTGTAGTTACAGGTGTTGCAAACTGCCTGATAGGAGTGCTGGGAGCTGAGCGTGGGTTCTCTGAAGAGCAGTCTCAGCACTTAACCACCGAGCAGCCCAACGACTGCAACTTAAATGTGTATACAACCTAGAGCTCAGAGTTTTGTGAATGTTACTGTGACGAGTAAGGAGATGGCAGTTTCTCCCTGGGGCTTGTGATCCAGCAGCATCAGGCCTCTGGTAACAGTTGTCTGGTCTCCACTGTGTCTTTGACTTTGCAGTCCCCGTGGTGAAACCCACCGTATTACCTGGAACCAAAGCCCTTTCTACTGTATCTGCACAAGCAGTCGCTGCACAGAAAAACAAACTCAAGGAGCCGGGGGGAGGCTCCTTTCGGTAAGGATGGAAGCCCCGTTTACTTTCGGGAAAGCATGGGAGGGGGGTTCAGGCTATCTGTGGACTTTACTGCTGGGTCTTCCCTATTAGTTCTTGGCATTGGCTGCTTCAGGACTGTTTCTTTTTCTTGGTTCTGACCACACATCTGTCAGTGTGGGCTCCCGACGTGAGTGCGGCAGTGGAGGCTTGCTTCATGCCCTGTGCAGGAATGGAGAGCAGGTCAGCTGACTTGATACCAATACAGTGCCCCAAAGTCACTATCATTTGTAGCACAGATTACCCTCGTTACTCTGTGTGCTCACTTTGACTCTTGATGAACAGAACAGCCTTCATGGACATTGCTGTGTCCTGGGATTCTTGTGTGGATGCACCAGAGGCCATAACATGACCTTCGCTGTGACTGGGAAATGGGAGTGTTTGAATTTCATGGAGACTCTTCATCCCAAAGCTATCAAATGGGGCTGGATAGAGCTGTATTGGCTCTGTAGAGTAAGGAGCATCCAGGCAGAGCAGGACAGGACACTGAATGGATAGGATAGTGGCTAGGTGTATATACATCACTGTACAGGCTTCTAGGTGCTGTGGCTAAAGTTGATGAAGGGAGCTAAAGATAGGGCATGTGGGAAAGCTAGAGTTAGCAGCAGCCTTGGTCTCAGCATGCTCAGGACTGCAGTGGACGCTAGAATTCCCACTGGTCTACTGGAAGAGCCTTGCACTTAGATCTTACCCACCAGAGGCCATTTTCCAGTATAAGGCCAGTGGGATGGGGCTCTTCAGAGAAGAGAATTCTTTAGAGTGGGAACAAGCAAAAGACAAGGTGAGCTGTGGCCACCTAATCTTGTCAGGATATGGCTCCTTCCTATAGCCCAGACTGGGATACACTATGTGGATGGTCAGCACTGAATCAAGTAGGGCAGGATGACAAGCCTGAGCAGAAGTGAGCTGCTGATTAACTTGTAAGCAGTAGGAAGTTTGAGTATGTTCACAGCTTCAGGATACCTCCAAAATACTGGTTAGCACTGGGGTGTCACACGCTCTCAGAGTGCACACAGCAGCAGGTAGCAGGGCTCAAAGGGGTAGTTATGATTCATTGGAGCCGTGCCAAGAGTCAGGCTGCAAGGAGGGTATTCTGCTGTCATCCTATTACTGATTTTGTGCCAAGGGCGTAAGTGTCAAAGAGAGGCTGAGGGGTGTTCATTGAGGGACACTGGGGCCCCTGTTGCTGGATGTAGACCTCCCCACTGAAGAGAAAGGTCTTCGGACAGTGGCCACTTGTGCACAAGTCCTTTTGCTGGGGCATCTTCACGTGGTGCTCCTATCCAGGAAGCACAAGCAAATACATGTCTGGGATCTGTCTGGCATTGTTCTCTGGTGGCTCAGAATGAGTTTTGTGTTCTTCCTCCATCTCTGAAAAAAGTACTGCTGGTTCACCTTTCTCTCCCAGTAAGTTTTCAAAGCAACAATGGTGTTCTGGGTTTTGTTTTCTCAAGGCATAGCATGGACTGTGGGCACACAGCTATGACTCCACACAGTTCTGCCTTTGAACACTTAAATTTTCACACAAGGAAGCAAGATTCCTTCAGACAAGAGGACACAGCCAGCACGGGGGCTGGAGTACCTGTATGTGTCAGTGTCCCAGTGCCTTTTGCTCTTTCCTGCCCCTTGCAAGCTACCACTGAATTGGAATCGTGTCAGTCAGCTGTAACTTTTCTTATGTGATAAAAATGATCTGTTCTCCTTTCAGGGATGATGACGACATCAATGATGTTGCATCAATGGCTGGAGTGAACTTATCTGAAGAAAGTGCAAGAATATTGGCCACAAACTCTGAGTTGGTTGGGACACTGACTCGATCCTGTAAGGACGACACCTTCCTCCTCCCCGCGCCTTTGCAGAGGAGGATACTGGAAATAGGTACGTTTGCACCTGATGATGCCTCTGGGATGCTCAGTGTCCACATCTGTGTCTGATGTACTCCGTGATCCTGATGAGACTCATTAGAGCACTTCTGGGTGCAGGGGCTGTAGGTGAGTGTGCCCTCTGCCTTGTCTTGGGCTCACCCATGGTGGCTGCACTGGTAGGTAGGAGAAGGGTGGGCAGTGACCATCTGCTGTCCTGCTTAGGTTGCCCTTGATTGTACAAAGCAGTAACTAGTGGGTGAGAGAAGCCAGTACCATGGTGAAGAAGAAATCTGGGTAAGTACCATAAAGTGCTCTTTTTCTGCATGGCCTGCAGGTAAAAAGCACGGCATCACGGAACTGCATCCGGATGTAGTGAGTTATGTGTCTCATGCCACACAGCAAAGGCTGCAGAATCTTGTAGAAAAAATATCTGAAACGGCTCAGCAGAAAAACTTCTCTTATAAGGTAATGGGTCTGTTTTCCTGGGGAGAATGTTTGTGCTCTCAGCTCCTGCTCGGGGGCTGATGGAGGCCTTAATTTCCAGGTTGTTTCTGTGCTCATTGTCTCAGCTTCGTGCACATAACACACACACACACACACACACACACACACACACACACACACACACCTCTCTCTCACATGTATGCATGCATGCATGCATTCACTCACTCATTCAACTCACTCACTCACTCACTCACTCACTCACTCACTCACTCACTCACTCCCCGAAGTACTGCTGAGGGGCTCCTGCCTCTGGGCTGGGAAGGTAGGGATGGGGCTCTACCAGAATGCTCTGCAGGCCTCCTGCTTTGGAACATGAGCCTGTCAGCTTAGGAAATCACGGAGTCTTAACTCTTACTCCATCCAAAGTGCTCAGTACCTGCAGCCTGGTCCTTTCCTGATCCATGTGTGAAAACTACAGGCTCTCAGCCAGCTGTGGCCCTGTTTATGAAGAGACTTTTCAGGCAAAATAAGTCTTGAGCAGTTGTACAGATGTCACTCTGGAGTCAGTGTCTGTGCCTTCAGAGTATCTTATGGTGAACTGTCAGTTTTAAAAACACTTCTAAAGTTGGATGTGGTGGTGCTCGCCCTTAATTCCAACACTCATGAGGCAGAGGCAGGTGGATCTTTGTGAGTCTGAGGCCAGCCTGGTCTACACAGTGAGTTCGGGACAGCCAGGACTACACAGAGGAACGCTGTCTCAGAAAACCCAAACCAACCAACCAAACAAATAAACAAATAAATAAACAAACACTTGTACAAAGAAGGGCTTAAATGTCTCTTTAAAATATCAAAGTGTATCAGATGGAACCCTCTGTGGAACTCCTGGTAACTCATGAGACTTCCCGTCCTTGTGAGAGTACGATCTGGAGTGAGAAGTAAGAGCTGCCAGCCCCCATTGGAGCCGAGCGCAGACTGCCCAGCTATGCAATGCATGCTTATGCTTGCTGAAATTCCATATTTATTGTGGGCAGCATTTTCACTGTTCTTTTCTTTTGTAGGATGACGACAGATATGAGCAAGCAAGTGATGTCCGGGCTCAGCTCAAATTCTTTGAACAGCTCGATCAGATTGAAAAGCAGAGGAAAGATGAGCAGGAAAGGGAGATCTTGATGCGGGCAGCAAAGGCAAGTTAAACACTATTCTCAGGTCTCAGGCCTGAGCTTGCAGTCATCCTCTCCTGACACACTAATCTGGCACATTGGGTTGCCAGTACTCAGGACCGTGTTTCTGACTGGTGTAGAAGAACAGGTGTCGTAAGTGGAGCTGGATAGGTGGGAGAGAAGCTTGACTCCTGTGGAGTACTTCAGCTGCTGGAGGATGTACTCCAGTTGGGGATTTGATGTAAGTGATGTGGGTCTCCCATTCAATCCATCAATTAATAATTTCTTTTAGTTTACTTTTTTTTTTTTTTTTTGAGACAAGGTCTCATTATGTAGCTCTGGTCACTGTATAGACCAGGCTGTCCTTGAACTCACAGAGATCCTCCTGCCTCTGCCTTCCAAGTGTTGGGATTAAAGGTGTGTATCACTATGCTTGGTGGTGTTGGTGTTTTTGAGATTCTGACACCTTGCCTTCCCCAACATTGCAGAATGGCTATGAGTTCACATGGTCCTTTGGTCTAGAGCATTCAGAGCTAAGAGTTGGAACCTTATTTATTTATTATTAGAGTCATCTAGAGATATTAATTCTAGTGCCAAGCTTTTTGTGTAGTAGGAGGAGTGAGAGCTGAATACCAGCCCTTACTAGCCCCTGAGCCCAGTGTCCTGGCTCTCTTAGGGCACACTGAGTCAGGCATATGACAAACTGGTAGCTGTGTGGCTAAGATTCTGTCTTATTGCATCTGGAGACTAATGTTGACTTTTTTTTTTCATGCTATGTAATCTAAACTTTCATGTTTTGAATGTAAACATAAAATTAGCAGGAATTGTGTCACTTGTCTGGCTTAGTGCTGTTGCAGGTTGGATACAGTGGTGTTGGCTCCGTGATGCTCATGGATGGCATGACTCTTCCTTCTCTCTTTCTTTCAAAATAGTCTCGATCCAGACAAGAAGACCCAGAGCAATTAAGGTTGAAGCAGAAAGCAAAAGAGGTGAGTTTCTCACTGCATTTGCAGCTCATGTTCATGCTCTGCCCAGAAGAAAAGAGATTACTTTAGAAAGCCTGAATGTGGGCTTTGTTGCTCACTAGAGCTCTCAGGCGGCCAGCGCCACCACAGGCTTTTCCTGTGCAGCTTGCATCTGGCTAGAGAGTTTCTGGTGACTTCTCGGTGAGGTTAGGCTCCTTAAACTTGTACTTCTAATTTTCTGAGCATTTTAAGGTAAGCTTCTGTTTTAAAAATATTCAAAATATTTTTGGTTACAGATATGTTCTTAGTTTTAAAAGTCACAGCTTTAAAGAAGTTGTAACTTAGGAAACTCAGAAGGTTCTTGATAGCTGCTGCTGCATTTGCAGTAAGAACTCTCAAGCAACAATAGCTCTTGTTTCCTTCCCATCATGTAGATGCAGCAGCAGGAGCTGGCACAGATGCGACAGCGAGATGCCAACCTCACGGCACTGGCAGCAATTGGGCCCAGGAAAAAGAGGAAAGTGGACTGTGCTGGGCCGGGATCGGGAGCAGAGGTACAACAGAACATGGGGTTGAGGTCTGGAAGGCATGTAGAGCTTACAGAGCCTTGCTTAGGTAGCCAGTGGGAGCTCCTGGTCTTTGTAGAGGCGTTGTTTTGAATTTGACACTTGATGTTCAAGTTGCCTTTTTGTTCATATCACATGAGCTGAAACACATGTTCACATGGTTGGCTCTGACTGAGGTTCAGCAAACTTTGAAAAGCATGGGGAGGAACTCAGGGTTTGCTCTGGTGGGGACAGTGTGAGGAGACCTGCAGGGTGTATAAACCAGAGAAGTAGCCACCTGTTTCCTGAGCCCAAAGTCTGAGTGTTTTATATGCTGCCTTAATGGTTACTTTTGCTTTAAACCATTGGTTGTTATTTGAATTTCAGAAGAGTATAGTAGCAACCCTCTGTATTTACCAGTTGTCATCACTGTTGCCCTCTTCTTTCTCTTACCTTGGTCTGTGCATCACTACTCACAATGGCTTGCAGGCTGGCTGGGCTGGTGTGTGCTTCTGGATCCGCCTCTCTGATGATGTTTGCTTGAATTAGGCGTGCTTCATTTTCATCTGTGAGATTTTTCACTGTTATAAAGTTCTCGGGTGTTAAGAGGGTGTTGTGTTGCTTTTATTTGCAGACCTGTTGTGATTCCTATCCTTAGCTCTGCATGGAGTGCGTCTTGTCTGACTGCTGACACTTGAGACCTTTCTTTATGAAGTTTTCTTGTGTTAGGTTCAGTCTCTGGGTGTTGAGCCTGCTTCCATGTGCAGAGCTGTCTAGAGCCACATGTGGGTCTGTGCTTTACAGTCCATTTGAAACATGTTGGCCATTGTTTCCTCAGGTTGTTTCTCTTCCCACCTGTCTTCGTCATGATCTCCAGTTGCTCACATACTAGGCTGTGGCGTAGCCTGTGCTCATTTTCATTAGTAGTTTTCCTCTCTGCCCTTCAGATTGGGTCATGCTCCTTGTTCAGCTGGGAGCTGTGCCAGCCCCTGCTGGTGTTAAGTCCTGTGAGATTTTCATTTACTAATGCAGACTTCGGTTTTAGAGCATCTACTGCAGCAGTTCTTAACCTGTGGTTGAGACCCCCTTGAGGATTACATATCAGATGTTTACATTACAATTCATGGCAGTAGCAAAATTACAGTTATGAAATAGCAACAAAAGTATTTTATGGTTGGGAGTCATCACAACATGAGGAACTGAATTAGAGGGTTGCAGTGTTAGGAAGGTTTTAGAGCCACTGGTTGTTGTGTTCATTTTTTTAAACTCTATTTGGGGTTCCTTAAAGCTTCTCCCAACCCCCCAACCCTAGGTAGGAGAAAGAAGGTTATGGGGAGAGAGGGCACAAACCCCTTACTTCTATTGGCTGTTTGGATCAATGGGTTCTTTGGGGGCCTTTACCAATCTCCGTCAATAGCAAACACAGCCAGCAGTCTCCTCCAAGCTGCTGTGCCCCAAGTGTTTCTGCCTGTCTGTTCTAAATATCCACACCTTCAGCCTCTACTCTTTCCTTAAACTGCCACCCAACGCTTTCTCCAGGCTCTCCTATTTATATCTCTCAGATTTGTCGACCATGCCCCTCTCCGTGCAGCACGAGGCAGGCTATTACGAGCTGGCAAAGACCATGTCCTACAGGAGGCAATTATCAGTTTTGGACAAACTAAGCCCAAACTAAAATCCCATACTTGGGATTAAAACAAAAACATACTCACATAACATAACTGAGCTTTTAAAGAAATGAAAACTTCCATCACAACTGGTTTATAGGCTCTTTGCAAGCGTCTAACTAATGAGTGGCAGGCAGACTTGCCCTGTCTACCACTTTACGATGGCTGTATCTTTAAGTCTTTGAGCATACATATTAAAGCCTGCCTCACAGCCTCAGTTTCTCCTCATTGCTCTCCTTCAGTCGTGGACTACTTTTCCTGTTTTATTATGTATCAGAAGACTGTTGCCTGAATACACCCTGGAATGAGAGCTAAGGGTGCTCCTGGTTTTCCTCCGAAGACTCTGGACTAGACTGTTTCAGCAGCCACTCAAGTCAGTGGCTCATTTGCTATGTATTTTGTTAGTAAGGCTCTGTAGAGAGGTAGGGCATCTCCCCCCCCCCCCCCCCAAATCTAACAACAAGCACCCCTTACTGTTGTGGCTTTTGGATATTTTAGAAGGAGTCGTAATGGAGTATGACCCTTAATCATGGGGAGGGGCTTGTCTAAAATTTCAGCTGAACCCTTGTGTTGCCACCTGACCTTTTTTGTTTGTTTTATCTTTATCCCCATAGAAACCGCTGTCTGGCCATGTGTGGTGGTACATGCCTTTAATTTCTGCACTTGGGAGGCAGAGGCAGGTATCTCTGTGTGAGTTCGAGGCCAGTCTGGTCTACAGAGTGAGTCCAGGACAGCCTGGGCTCTATTACACAGAGAAACCCTGACTCAAAAAGCAAAAAAAAAAAAAAAAGAAAAGAAACAGCTGTCTGCTTTGCTTGGACAGTTATGTCTTGCTGTGGAGGTGTGCAGGTAGACTCTGGGGCAGTGCTGTCCCTGCCTAGAACTATAGTCCCATCCCTGGCTCTAGTGCTAGCCATGACTCCCTGGGTAGTGTTCTTTTGATGTGTAGACTCTGCTTTGGTGAGAAGTCCCTAGAGGTTCAGGGGCATACCTCTCAGTTCAAGGGTAGGAAGAAAGTCTGGGTGTGAGGTAGGAAGAAAACCCAGGCTAGAATCTTTATATAAATGTGTTATCTGAGCTGTATGTGAATTTAGGTTTATTCCTAAGTGAGTTAGAAGAAAATATAATTCCTGGCTCTCAGTTAGGGCCCTGGCTGGTATAAAGACAGAAGTGGCTGGCTGCAGGAGCCCAGGCTGGTTCTGCTGTACAAAGCTTGTCAGTAAGAACCTGCGGCAGGTCGGTCTGGCCTTCACGTATGCAGGCCTGTAAAGCCCACACCAGAAATGAGGACAAGAAGTGAGTAAAACTTTGGGGGAGTTAGAAGACATTCGTGAACTTTTTCTGTTGGTTGTTTTTGGGACCTGCTGAATTATCCTGAGATGTAAATCTTGGTAACTCACTTCCTGGTTCAGGGGTTAGGACTTTGCCAATTGCCTGAGAAGTTCCTGTGTCTTGCCTCTTCCCCTAGTTTCTTAGTCCCTGACACTGTACTCCAGAAACAATGTATCCTGATGATCACAACTTGAAGAAATTTAAGTCCATGATGCTCCCTCTACTATGCAGCCCATATCCTGTGGTCTCCCTTGCCTGTTTAAGTGGTTTTAGGTCTGTGCTATGCTTGCACGCATGTGTGTGTTTGTGCATGTTTCTTCTCATGGCAAGGTGAGACTGGATTTTTTTCTATTTAATGTTCCTGCAGTGTGGCACTGGATGTTTCAGGCCTTTCAGACTGGAAAAAACTCATTCCTTTAGAAAGTGGTGTTTGAAGGTCACAAAAAATGGGACCGGGGTGCTAGAGTTCCTGGACATTAAAGAATTTAAATTCAGAGGGACAGAGTTTTACTCTCTCAGATGATGTGGTTGTCTTTCCCATTAATAGCACTTGTCTTGGATATACTGGCTTGGAGACCAGAGAAGGGAGAGCAAAAGAGCCCTAGTTCTTCGTGGCCGAGTTACCAGAGAACTGAGTGATGCTGTCCCAGCAGTTGCCACGGTTGTGGACGGCAGGAGTTTTCTCTTAGCTGTCCTAGTCTTTGTCCCAGTTTTCATTGTGCTATCCTCTCCTTGCCAACAACTGGCACTGTGCCGTGCTGCCCCCTCCTCATCCTCCTCCTTCCCTTCCTCCCTGAGTGAGGCTTTGTTTAATACCTCAGTTCTGGTGTGCTGAGTCTCCACTCCCTGGACCTGACGCAGTCTCCAGAGCAGTACTCTCCAAGAGGCAAGGCAGTAGCTTTGCATCTGGCTTCCTTGCTGTCCTGATGGCCTTCAGCACCTGGTACAGGTTTTCTCTGGTACAGAGTTCTGTCAGGGGGTGGTGACCCTCTCTTTGTGTCCTCTGCCTTTTTCTCTACAGGAGCTGCCATCTTAGATGGGTTTTCTGGTGGGTGTTCTTTCTGTGGTCAGCTTCAGGTTTGTATTTAGCAGTGTCTTTGCCAGAAATCTTGGCTGTTTTTGTGTCTCCCCTATATACCTTTTTCTTTCTTCTTAATATCTGAGCCTCCTTCATGGGCAGGGGTGATGATTGGGGAAGTGGCTCAGTAGACAATATCCTTGCCACACAGGCATGAGTCTGAGTTGGCTCTCCAGCGTCCACATAAGAAATCAGGTGCTTTAGTGTGTGCCCATAATCCCATCACTTGGAGAGGGAGAGATCTAGGGGTTTGCTGACTAACAGTATAGCTGAGACAGCAAGTGAGAGACCTTGTTTCAGATAAGGTGACCACCAGCTTCTGGCCTTGCATGCACACTTGTATACACACCCACCTGTGTATACACATACCTGTCTCCTTGGAGTCTCCTGTTTTTTTACCTGTGCTTGTGAGTTTGTTGTTTGTTTCAGACAATGGCCCTTGCAGTCCAGACTGGAATTGAATTTGCTTTGTGTCTGAGCATGACCTTAAATTCACCCCACCCTTCTTATCAAGTTCAGGGATTACAAGCATTTGCTACTGTTTTCTACCTCAATTTAATTAATTAATTAATTAATTTTTGAGTCAGGGTTTCCCTGTGTGGCCCTGGCTGTCCTGGAACTCTCTCTTTAGACCAGGCTGGCCTTGAACTCAGAGATTCATCTGCCTCTGCCTCCTGAATGCTGGGATTAAGCATGCCCAGCCTGCCTTTGAATTTTTTTTTTTTCAAATGAAACTTTATTTCTAAATTTTGTTTCTAAGTTTTGCTCATTCTAATTCATACTGTTCTTTCATGCTTATTTTCCTTAGTGTCTTTAGCTTGTTTTGTACTATTACATGTTTTTGTTTGTAGCATTAGGCTCATTTGACTAAGGACCTTGCACATGCTAGATAAGCTTGTCCCTCTGTTGTTGTGATAGCTCATTCATGACCA